TAAATATAAATATATATATATATTTATACCAGTTTTATATATATATATATATATATATATATATATATATATATATATGGGAACATAAGATATATGTTCCCATACACACACACACACACACATACACACACACACACAGACACACACACACTGAGTGGTCAGATTATTATGACCACCTGATGTGTGTAGGCAAATTAGCTATAATTTCATGCTGAAGTTGCAAGAGGGCCAGACCATTATAAAGCTGGTTGTTTACCACGACAGTAGAAGTGATTTTTTCCTGAAGATATGGATAAACAACGTGATTTAACAGCCTTTGAACATGATATATATATATATATATATATATATATATATATATAAATATAAATATAGTGTGTGTGTATAATTATATATATATTTTTTTTCTAAACACGGAAGGCTTAGCATGGCAATTGCTCAGTTAATTCCAGCTATTTTGGTTATGTGGCACCAGTTTTCACAGTTAGGAATATTAGCTACTCTACCTGAGAGCGGATAGGAAGGTGGCTTCCAAGTAGATCCTTTCTGGCATATCTGTTGTTTTAGTGCCTCTCAAACCAAGTTTAAAATGGGACTTTCTAGGTATTCCAGCTGAGATATGAAGCACTTTTTATAATCTCAGTAAAAATGTTATATATTTCTTGATGATGTTTTATCTTGTTTTTAACTTATGTGCTTTTTATTTCTAGGGATAGCCTTTTAACAAGAACGAAAACTGAAGATGTGATAACTCAGCTTCATACTAACCTTTTGGGTTCCATGCTGACCTGCAAAGCTGCCATGAAAACTATGATTCAACAACAGAGAGGATCTATTGTTAATGTAGGTGAGTCTTCACCTTTGTGAATTTATAGTTATCTTTTAGTACCCAAAAAATATTTAATTGACTAAATTGGAATTTGTTCATGGGTGAAACTTGGATGAAATGTGTCATCTTATTATCTGTGGAGAAAGGATTTGATTAACTGATGAATGGGTACAACAGGAATCACAAATTCACATCTGTATAGTGGTCAAGTAGGTGTGGAATGAGTTGACACCACCAGGTATTAGAAAAATGACAGCACAAGCCATGTGATAAATGACAAAAGACCCAGCTTTGGTGTCCAGAGGCCATTGGAATGGCAGGAGCTAGCACTGCTCAGATCCAGTAGAATGTTGCTATGCACAAATGTGGTCCCAGTTTTGCCAGCTGTTTTGATTTTTAAAGAGAAATTGGACATCCTGATTTTTATGTGAAACCTAGTTTTTAAAACGTGGAGAAGGAGTTGAACATGTTATATACTGGGGCCTAAAAATGATGTCTAGAGCAGCTGCCTGGATCATTGACAAATCAAGTACAGAGGTTTCAGAGAAAGCTTTTAAGAAAAGAAGTAACTTTTTCAGTTTTTTAGCCTGGATATAAGTAACCTATTGTCTTCAGTTCATCCGACTCATGGGGTGGATCAACTGTGTACTATGTGCTTGTAGACCTTAAAATGCAAAATGATTTGAAATTTTATTTCAATTTGATAATTGAAAATAATGGCATACTACCTGACTCTTAAAAAGCCACTAGAGGGGAATATTTCCTAGTTGAAGTAAAAGACCCTATTCTTTTTAATATAGGAAATGTCTTTCCAAACTGATGTAGGGTTTTTCTTTTTTGAAAGTGAGAGAAGGATATTATGCTAATAAGCATTAGAACACTTTTGACATTTACCCTTAAAAATATGAGATTAATTTTCTTATGAAAGATTAGTAAATGAGCCGACCTTTGTTTTCTAACACAGCAAGATAATGATTTTTGAAAAAATATTTTTATTGATTTAGAGAGGAAGGGAGAGGGGGAGAGAGAAACATCAATGATGAGAGAGAATCATTGATCAGCTGCCTCAGGCACCAGGGATTGAGCCCTCAGCCTGGGCATGTGCCCCAACCAGGAATTGAACCGTGACCTCCTGGTTCATAGGTCAGTGCTTAACCACTGAGCAACACTGGCCCCAACAGATAATGATTTTTAGGTTCTTGTAAGCTGCTGGTATATGGCCTATATACATCACCTGGGGTATATTTGTTTAACTCTAAAATATCTCCCTTTTAGGTATATTTAAAAAATCCTCATCATTCCCTTGTCATGCCAAACTTTAGAATTATGCTAAAAGTAAATAAAATTAGATAATTTAAAATAAGTTAAGAGAATCTTATTACAGAAAGGACTATTTAAACTTCTAGAAAATTGATGGTATTTCAGAAGTTACCACTTTTGACTAGAAGAACAATAGTATTTGGCATGAACCAAACTTTTATAGCTTCCTTTGGCCTTTCTTTCATGCCTGTATTTTTCTTTCTTTTTTGTGTCCTCCATATTGCTCTCTCTTCCAAATACCCTTGTTTATTCATCTGCATTTCCTCTGTCTGCTCTCCCTTTTCTCTTTTCTGTGCTTTACTGTTATCATTCTTTGTTATTAAGATATAATGTAGATAAACATTTTAATCTTGGACTTGATTATAACATAAAAAGTATTTGGAATGTTTTCTAAAATAAAATTACTTCAAACATTTTGTGAGAGGTTCTTGCTTAATTTTACAAGTACAGGTCACTAGTGCAGAAAATTATTTCTCCACTTATGTTTTGCTTGAATTTATTTGCATGCAGTTGCTATTTGAATTATAAGTTATTCTTTTATATTCAAAAAAATGAGACTACCCAAGAATCTTTAGTAGGCAATGCAAGTTATAAAACATCACTGAAGGTAACTAAATTGCAATTTTACCAAAAGTTTGTAATTGAAACTTTTCTTAGTTAGATGGACAGTAATTCAAATTTAGTGAGATTTATCTTCAGATGAAATATTTCTTAGGTGGAAATGAATGTTTCCTTATGTCTATGTTGTAGAATCATAAAATTAATGAGTCATCATCTAACTTTTTCTGGCTTTAACTTCTTTCTACTGCACATCTTTGTAAATACTGTAGAATTTTTCATCATGCGACCTATTCAGAGATGAGAGTGGGTTTCTTTCACTTAGTGGATCAATTCTGAAACCCTGTTTGGCATTTGAGGTTTCAAATAAGCATCTTTCAAATCCTGTTTTCTGTGTATCTGCAGCAGATTCAGACTCTTAACACTCAAGTGACAATGGCTAGAATTCCTAATTTTAGCAAAGGACAAGGTACAATGATTTGTTCTTTGTTTAGTATAAATTATCTGCATATCCAAATAACCCCATTAAATTGGTTTGAATTTGTTTCAATTTTTATGTCTAGCAAGTATTATTGGCTTAAAAGGAAATGCTGGTCAGTCTGTGTACAGTGCTAGTAAAGAAGGAATCTTCGGATTTTCACGTGCTCTTGTTAAAGAATAGTAAGAAGGAAAATTACAGTGAATGTAGTTGCTCCAGGTCAGTGAAAACTTCTTTTTTTTTTAAACATAATTTATGCATGTTTATGGCTTTATATAATAATTGCAAAGATTGTAAGTACATCAGCATCATTAGGCACTTCTCAGCATATTGGTGCAGGAACGTGCGGAATCTGCATTGTCACTAGAGTCTTCAGTAGCTAAATGCAGGAGGACCTTCCTACGTCCTGACAGGACCTCCGTGGCCACACTGCCAGTTTGTGCATCGTCCTCAAGGAGGAGGCAAAGAGTAATGACAGGCTGTCTTGATTGCATAAACCACGTTGCATCTTTTACTGAATGATTATTCCCAAACTAAAATCACAAAAGAAACTTGTACTTTAAAAATCGGTTATAAATTAAGAATGGCCCAGCCAGTGTGGGTCAGTGGTTGAGCATCAACCCATGAACCAAAAGATCACAGTTCGATTCCCAGTCAGGGCACATGCCTAGGTTGCAGGCTTAATCCCCAGTAGGAGGTGTGCAGGAGGCAGCTGATCAATGATTCTCTATCATCATTGATATTTCTATCTCTCCTTCTCCCTTTCTCTCTCTGAAATAAATAAAAACATTTCTTTAAAGAAAAGAATGTAAGAATTTCAGTTGTGTGTGTGTGTGTGTGTGTGTGTGTGTGTGCGGGGAGGGGTGGGGAACACAATAAATCTTTATATTTAAAATCTCTGAATAGCTCTATAATCCCCTATACTTTTAATAACGGTACAATCCAGAGGAAATAAACAAGGCTGCATAGGTGATATCGTTTGGACATTTCACAAAGTAGTCATGTGATCTACTCATTACTCCAGAAAGTCAGTATTTGTACAGATAAAGAATTGCCAGAGGTCATATAATGTTTCTTTTCCAAATAGACAGATCCCTTTCACTGGACTTCATTGTATCTAAGAGAGCTATCCAAGATTCCTGTTAGAAATTGAACACAAAGAAAAATTAGAAGGAAAAAAGATACTTACACAGACTCAGGAGGAAGAAAAATCTTTTTTTAAAGTCACTCCATGAAGTAATAAGATTTTAAAGTGATTTTGGCAGCAGCTGCCTGTTGAATGACCGAGTGGAAGCTCATTGTGTAATGTCACGGGGAGGAAGGTGGTAGTGCGTCGTAACAGAAATGAGAACACTTGGACTCTGGCACCAACAAGGTCTATTCCATGTGCAGGAGGAACTGAGATTTGTGGCCAGCAGTGAAGATGGATAGAGAGGTGGCTGTTTACTGAATTTTCAAAATAGTAGAAGTCACAGTGGGAAACTTGCAGTAGAGCTGCCTTCCTTTAGGGCAGTGGTTCTCAACCTTGGCTGCACATTAGAATCACCTGGGAATCTTTTTAAAATCCTGATTTCTGGGCTTCATCCTCCGGAAATTCTGTTTCTTTGTTATGAGGTGGGGCCACAACATTAGTAACAAAGAAACAGAATTTCCAGAGGATGAGGCCCAGAAATCAGAATTTTAAAAAGATTCCCAGGTGATTCTAATGTGCAGCCAAGGTTGAGAACCACTGCTTTAGGGAATCCATCAGGAACACTTGTGTTCTTGTTAATCATGAAGGACAACCCAAGCCAAGAGAGAGGCAAGTCACCTGTAAGGCAGAGCAAGTGTGAAATCAGAGACCCTTATAGTGGTTTCAACCTTCTGGCCCTTTAAATACAGTTCCTCATGTTGTGACCCAACCATAAAATTATTTTCATTGCTACTTCATAACTGTAATGTTGCTACTGTTATGAATCGTAATGTAAATATCTGATATGCAGGATGATCTTAGGCGACCCATGTGAAAGGGTCGTTCAACCGCCAAAGGGGTTGTGACCCACAGGTTGAGAACCGCTGAAAGTCAAGAGGAACCTTTTTGTGCACCTGCTCCTTTTATATGCTGACTTTGGGTATTCCACATCACTTGAAAATATTGTTGGATTAAATGGGACACAAAGCCAATGAACTTGGTCTGTTTGTAACTGGTAATTGAAAATATTAAATCATAATGACCAGAATTATAGTTTAGGTTGCTACAGCTAAAGAAAGTCTTCATTTTTTTATTTATAAAGGAGTCATTAATTGGCCTATTAATTGGTACTCATAGATTGACATCTGGGTAGAATAATTCTAAAATGACTGTGAAAAGAATCATGTAATGAACTGGTGACTACAAAAAATTCCCCATACTTTATATTATCTTTAAAATATTTATGTTTAAATATTAATTATGGGAAAATGTGAGGTGGAAAGGACCTTGTAGCTCATTTATTCCAGTCATTTTTACTGTTTGGAAGACTGGGACCTAGGAGAGAGTGACTAGCCAAAGGTTTATGTCAGGACTGTTACTAAAAGCTTTATCTTTTCATTCCCAGCTAAGGTAAGCTTAAAAGTAATGGTCCCTTAGATTTCCTTTGTATCATTAGAAGGTTTTCAGGTCTTTTTATTTTTTGTCCTTTTGTTAATATGGCTTGTCTAAACTATCTGCAATTATCCAATTTTGTAGCTTTTACCTTTATATTACTTCCCTTTTGCCAAGTTACTAGTTGATAAAATTGCCTGGGGTAGTTAAGAGGGTAATAAAAATGTGCTAAAACTTGAATCTACCAGTATCACTCATTAGATGGTGTGATAGAAATTTTGGTTAGGTATTTACTTGACTTTTGAAGTAAATGAGTGTTTTCATGAACCTCTGCCAGTTAGCCATGGAATTTTGTGCTAGCTTACTATAAGTATTTAAGAATTGATTACCTATGTTAAGAAAAGATTCCTTATTTGCAGATGACATGAAAGAAAGAGTAAGTAGAAAGTAGACTTTGTCACCTTTTCATTTCAAGTCACTAATGGCTGCAGCTTGGACACTAGAGTTGGTGTTTTATTTGGCACTGATGTTGAAACAGCAGGGATCAGGGAATGGTCAAATGTTCTTTTTTTATTTAATTTTTTTAAAAAATATTTTTATTGATTTCAGAGAGGAAGGGAGAGGGAGAGAGAGATAGAAGCATTAACGATGAGAGAGAATCATTGATCAGCTGCCTCCTGCATGTCTCCCACTAGGGATAGAGCCCTCAACTCAAACATGTGCCCTGACAGGGAATCGAACCGTGATCTCCCGGTTTGTAGGTTGACCTCAACCACTTAGCCACACCAGCCGGGCTGGTCAAATGTTCTGATAGCCCTTTTGCTGTAGAATGTCCCTGCATCCCAATGCATTGTTTTGTCACAGAGACTGGCTGAATTCAAGCATTCCAAATCCATGAACATTTGATAGACTGTGGTTTAGATACAGTACATCCATTTAAAAAAAAAAGGATAATCCAAAAGCTGCACTGCCATCTTGGCACTGCTTTCTGTTTGTGTACGCTTTGTACAGCCTGATTGATTTTAGTGTTAGCCTCGTTCATCCATGTGGAGAATAGATCATTTGTGGTTTGGAACTGCATGTATTTCCTTCCTTCTCTTTTGGAGATTGCAGTGGTGTGGGTAATGAAGAGTTAATTCTACGTCATCATGATTTAAAAGCTGATAGTTTAAGGGCAATGTAAGTGTTCTTAACGCATAATAAATCATTCAGCAGGCTTACGTATGGGAGTGTCTCATATTCAAGGTCTGTGTTAGGTTCCAAAATTACAAAAATGAATAAGATACTCTGTCACAAGGAGCTAAGTACAGTGGGAAAGACAGACATATAAACAAATAACTACAGTGGCATGTGATGCATATAAAGATACATGTATGATGCTATGGAAACGCTGAAGAATGAATGCTTAATTTTGTTCGTGTGAATTAGTTGTCAAGGCAACAGGCGAAATAGTGGGAATGCAATTTGTATACAAAGGGAAGTTTTATGAGTGTTATGGAAGTGCACTTGTATAACCTTTTCTAAAGATCTTTCCAGTGCAATTTAAAACACACAAAAAAACCTGTTGCTAAAATTGTGGCTGTTCAATAATGGCTATATATCTTTAGTAGGTTTCATAGTATGAATATGCTTCATTGGTCAGAAGCAAAGTATAAGTTGAAATCGTACAATTAAATTGATTCCACCATAAATTGATTCTATGGATTATTTATTAACTTTATTTTCAGTAGTAATTATAATCATGTTCTTTATTGGATCTTTTAACAACATGACAAATATTAGAATTATGGATTATTTATTAATTATATACATTTATTTTTTTGTTAATCTTCACCTGACGATATGTTTCCAATTGCTTTTTAGAGAGAGTGGAAGGGAGGGAGGAAAGTGGGAGAGAGAGAGAAACATCAATGTGAGAGAAACATATAACTTGGTTGACTCCCACACCCACCCCACCCAGAGATGAGAAGGGAACCCATAACCCAAGTACATGTCCTTGACCGGTAATCGAACCTGCCACCCTTTGGTGCATGGGGTGATGCACTAACCAGGTTTCAGGTTGGATCCCCAGTCAGGGCGCCTGTGGGAGTCAACCACTTGATATTTCTCTCACATTGATGTTTCTGTCTCCTCCCCCCCTGCCCTCCCTCTCTCTCTCTGAAAATCAATTTTTAAAAAATCCTCATAGACACAGACAAAAGTATGGTGATTGCCAGAGAGAAAGGGAGATGGTGGGAATTAGAAGAGGGTATGGGGGGATAATTGGTGAATGAAGGAGATGACTTGGGGTGGCGACCACACAATAAAATACATAGATGTTGTATTATAGAATTGTACACCTGAAACCTATGTAATTTTATTAATCAATGTCACTCCAATAAATTCAATTAAAAATAGGTAAATAAATGTACTAAGATTTTCTTTCAGTGAAACACACAATATAAATAGTTGCTGTATTCTAGGCCCTCATTATAGATAATTTGAAGTTAGTACTGTGCATCTTTTTTCAATAAGTTTTTTTCTAAATAAAAAAATAAAATATATCTCTTGTAGACACTTAGGAAAGTACAGACAAGTAAAAGAAGAAAATAATAATCATTACCTGTAACTCTAGTGTCTAATGATAATCTCTATTAATATTTTGGAATATATTTTTCCAGTCATTAGTATAAGCTTTTTGGTGTTTGTTTTTTTTATTGAGGTGTGATGACATATGTAACTATATTACTTTCAGGTGTAAAGCATAATGATTCCATATTTGTATACATTGTGAAATGATCACCACAGTAAGTCTAGTTAACATTCCTCTTCTAACATGTTACAATTTTTTTTCTTGTGATAAGAATTTTAAGGTCTATTATCTTATATACTTTCAAATATACAGTATTAACTATAGTCACCATGCTGTATATTATATCCCTGTGACTTACTTATTTTATAACTGGGAGTTTGTACCTTTTAATATCAGTATAACTAAGTTCATTGGTAACCTACTTTTTAAATACACAAATGTTTTCTTTTATATTAAATGTTTTGCAGTGGAATCATTTTAATGCCTCCACATTGTTGTATTGTGTTGATGTACCATGATTTATTTAACTAGTTCCTTATTGAAACACATTCAGCTTATTTCTAGTTTTTTCCTTAATAAAGCTTTCATCGTCATGGGCTTCATGATAGAAAAATCTATGATTATTTCTCACAAGACTTAAAAGCAACTGTTTAGATATTTGTAAGTGAAAACCTAAGGCAAGGAAAAATTAAATAATTACATAGAGTGCATAATAAACCTTTGGCTTAGTACAAACTTTTAATCCAGTGCTTAGTTCACTTTTAACCTGGTATTTAATTTAATCGATTTTTTTTGTTTTTTTTCCTTTTTATTGAATTTATTGGGGGTGACACTGGTTAACAAAATTATATAGGTTTCAGGCTCACAATTCTACAACACATCATCTGTACACTGTGTGTGTGTTTACTACCCCAGTCAAGTCTCCTACCATCACCATTTTTTCTCCATTACTTTCCTCCACTTCCTCCCACCTGTCCCCTGGCAGTCACCACACTATTGTCTATGTCCATGAGGTTTTTTCCTTTCTTCTTTGTGAAACCCCTCCACAGACATTCCCCACCCCACCCCTGAGAGCTGTCAACCTGCTCTCTATCTATGAGTCTGTATCTATTTTGCTAATAAGCAAAATTAATTAACCTGGTATTTTAAATGGCAGTATATTTAGGTTGTTTTAGTTTGAGTTATAACTAGTTTCATTTTAACACAAGGCAATTTGGAAACTGTATTTTTGATATTGCACATTGAACTTTTACTTCACATGTTATGTCTAATATTAATCCATTTATTCTTTATGATTTTAAATTTTTTTATATTTTTCTAATTATTCCTTTTATGAGGACTTCTTAGTTGCTTAAATAATTGAATAGTGAACATTGATTACATAAGTTAAGTATTTTATTGGTAATGTGTGTTTTTATATCTTAGATTAATCACAAGATTATATTAATAAATCTATAGTCTTTACATATATCGTATAATGCAAATCATTTAGGAATAATTGCTGAAATATATTACATAGTACTTTATACTACAGAACATTATACTTTAGAACAGTGGTTCTCAACCTTCCTAATGCCGTGACCCTTTAATACAGTTCCTCATTGTGGTGACCCCCAATTTCATTGTTACAAATTGAACATAATTAAAGCATAGTGATTAATTACAAAAACAATATGTAATTATATATGTGTTTTCAGATGGTCTTAGGCGACCCCTGTGAAAGGGTCCTTCGACCCCCAAAGGGGTCGCGACCCACAGGTTGAGAACCGCTGCTTTAGAACATATTCTCTGCAAGTTTTATTGCACACACCAATGTCATGTTAAAGTTTTTATTTTTTTGTGTATACTATCAGAATTGGATATGACTACAATTTTTTTTTGTTATATGAATATTGGGAATACTGGTCTTTTACTCATCAATTGTCCTAGCAAATGGAACTAATCATCATAGTGCCAAATTGGTTCATGTGATGCCTTCCTTCCCTCTACCCTGTCTTCCACCCCTCTACCCCACTCAAGTGAAAATTAATCAATTCTATAGTACTTTGTTCATACCTCTATAAGGATATTCACTAGACTTCCTTACCTTATAATTAGGGATGCAAGTGACTAATTCCTCCTTAAATTTTAGGTTCCCTAAAGAATATAATTTTATTCATATTTATATGTGCCCACTTACATTTTGCTATGAGTTGGGTCAAATATTTGGGAATCAAAGATTTTAGTGTTCAATAAATGTTCATTAAGTTAATAAGTCAAAAAAAATGTAGACTTGGTTACTTGATTGCTAGCAAAACTATTTCCTAAATAAAGTTTATTAGTAACCTCAAGTTTTCTGGAACAAACTTATTTTTATCTGAGGTTGAGCAACTGTCTTAGTATCTACTCTTTTCTACTAAGCAAACATTTCTCTTTAGGATTTGTTCATACAGATATGACAAAAGCCTTGAACAAAGAACATTTAAAGAAAAATATCCCTCTTGGGAGATTTGGAGAACCTATTGATGTGGCACATGCAGTTGTGTTTCTCTTAGAATCACCTTATATTACAGGGCATGTTCTGGTAGTGGATGGGGGATTACAACTCACGATGTAATTTACAGATTTCTCAGGTAGAATGGTGATTAGAATCAGGCACACATTGTTGATTAGACAATCACATCTACATGGGTTACATTTGATAATCAAACCTATTCATGCTACAAATGTTGATTTCTACCTTTTTATGTATTTATCTGAAAAGAACAATGTTTGACCAATTGTATTTTCTAAATGGTATGTACCTTACAGACTATAGTGATTTAAGTTTATAGACATTTTTCAAGTGCTATAAACAGATATTACCTGAATTTATATATTTTGTCTCAAAAGTGAGAAAATTATAAAGTTTAATTTTTAGGAGTTATTATATTAAGTTGAATGAAGTTAACCTTATCGTCCATTGCCAAAATAAGAGTATTTACAGAGAAACCAAGATGGCGGCATAGGTAAACACCGGAGATTGTTGCCTCGCACAACCACTTCAAAAATACAACTAAAAGACGTAACGGACATCATCCAGAACCACAGGAAGGCTGGCTGAGTGGAATTTCTACAACTAGAAGGAAAGAGAAAAGCATACCGAGACTCAGAGGAGGTGCGGTGCTGAAGTAAATACAAAGGTGCGGAGGTGCATGCGGAGAGGGCTGGAGGCTGAGGACACGATTGTCTTTTTCAATTGGGAGGGAGTCTCAAGCTCTGAGCTCCAGTTCCGGGCGAGTGTCTGGGGACCCAGACTCATACGGGAGAAACGAGACTGTCTGGCATCGGTCAGAACTCGAGGGAAGCTTTCTCTCGGAGGCACTTGCGGCGATTGCCAGGACCTCTGAAGGCAGGACTGAGAGCAGCCATACTGCTGGCTCGCTCAGCCTGCCCTGTTGATCCCCTAGGACCCCGCCCCGCCCAAGCCGTGCAAGGAGGCTTTTGCATATGAAAGGCCCGGCCCTTTGTAATCTGAAAATAACTTAACAAACTGCAGCTGCCCCAAGGCCCCAGGGCAACTTGCATTGCTTTACAGCTGGCTTCTGCTGGGTAGCCTCAGGCAAAGGCTAGATTAGCACCTTCTTAGATCCAAGAGCCAGTGTACCCAGTGGTCAGAGTGGGACCATCCAATTACAACTCCTCATATCTATAAGGGATACACTCAGGGGGCAGACTCAGTGAGCACCAAAGCCCCACTGAAGCAAGTCTTGCCCCATAAGGGTGTCTTCAGCACAGAAGTTCTCCCACCGCAGACAAAACTGATTCTCACAGCCAATTGGCCTGGAGGTCAAATCCTCCCAGTTTTATCTACAACAATCAAGGCTTAACTACAACAAGACTGTGCACAAAGCCCACAAGGGGGTGCACCAAGAGTGTCTACCTCAGGTAATTGGGACACTTAGCACAGAAAACCACTCTATGACACAGCGAAGCATAAAAAATGCCGAGGCAAAGAAACAGGACACAAGTGACAGAAATGGAGGAAAGAAAACTACTGGATATAGAGTTCAAAACCACACTTTTAAGGTTTTTCATGGAACTGATGACACTAAGATGTAGGCTACAGATAGGTTTAAACTTTAAGTGTATATTTACACTTTAAGAAATATAATCCTTTTAACTAGTCCACTCTGTCCCCTAGCCCACATCAAGCTGCTGGTGTAATATTGGGATAAATTTTGAAATTGGTAAAATGAGCTTTCACTGTTCCACTCCAGGTGAATTTTCCACCCACTTCCACTAACCGGGTAGAATTTATAATTTCATAGTTGCTGAAATAAGTTGCCAGCTGTTGCTTATGTTCAGTGGTTCAAGAACTTCATTGAATTCTTAAGAAGTCTTATCTGTAGCTGCTGTGTGACAAATATGAGCCCATGATCCAACTTGTGTTTTGCACTTTTTTAAAAAAGATTTGTGCTTAAAGACAATGTATTAAATTTTTTGCATGGAAGGCTTTAAAATTTGTGCTCCTGTTCATACTTTTTATTCATATTCATTTTATGAGACAGTTTTTAACTGCTTTATAGAGATAGAATTACATGTTATAAATTACTTTGGGAGCAGTAATAGGCACAAAGAAGGTCATTGAATTTATATGCTTCTCTCACGTAGAATAAAGGGAGAAGTCTATTCTGGATATATGAGTTTTTCCTTATGTTGCTGAAACATTTTTCCAGGCTTTCAAAATGGAAATATATGCAAATTAAGACATCATACCACTACCCTATTTTGAAAAACATACTAAAAGTATTTAATAATTTTTAAGTTTCTTTTATGTTAATTTCACTTTTAATGACATTACAAGTTCTTCACGGAAAATCCCTCTGTCTTTATTTAGTGTAATTTTTAAGTAACTTTTTGTAGTTTTCAGCATACACATATTTCAAAAATTTGTTAATTATATCTCTAAGTACTTCACTTTTTTTTAGAGATATAATGACATATACAACATTCTATTAGTTTCAGGTGTTCAACATAATACACTGTTTGTATATGTTGGGCACTGATCACATAGTAAGTCTACTGAATATCCATCACCATCCATAGTTACAGATTTTTTTTTCTTATGATGAGAACTTTTGGTATCAACTCTTTTAGCAATTTTCATATATAAAATACATTATTGTTTACTGTAGGCACAAGGTGTACATTGCATCCCCAGGGCCTCTAGGGTTTATCTTTTTTTTTTTTACTTCCTGCATCTAGATACCTGTTTTCTTGCCCAGGTTAGGGAAATTTTCATCCATTATTTCTTTGAATATTTTTTTTGCCTCCTTTTTCTCTTTTCTCCTTTTGGGACCCATATAATGTGAATGTTGGTTCACTTAATGTTATCTCATGAGTCCCTTAAGCTATCTTTACTCTTTTCTTTTTGTTCCTCTAATTGGATGAGTTCCTCTCCACTGTCTATGAGTTTGCTGTTCCTTCTGCTTCATCAGTTCACTGTTGAAACCCTCTATTGCATTTTTCATGTCAGTTATTGTACTCTTCGTCTCTGTGACTTCTCTGTGGTGGTGTCACTTTGTTGGAATTCTCACTTTGCTCATGTATTTTCCTCCAAGCTCCTTGAGCATCTTTAAGGCTGCTATTTTGAACTCTTTATCAGTTAAATCACTTATCTCCCTTACATTAAGGTCTTTTCTTAGGTCTTTATCTTCTTTTGTATGGAGTGGATTCCTTTATTTCTTCATTTTTCCTTGATACTCAGTATGTTTCTATTAGGTAAAATACTCACTTCTCTCAGTCTTGAAAGAGTGGCCTCATGTAGGAGATGAACCATATTATTCAGCCCTGTCCAGGCTGTTGGTTGCCTCTCAAACCTTTGTCATTGTCCAAATAGCCTATTTTATTCTGAGTTGCTCTCAATAGTTGCAGGTGTGCCAAGACCTGTCAATGTCCCAATGGATAGGACCCCAGTCAGCATCTAGATTCAGGTTGATTGGAAGCCAGACTCTTGGACAGCAGTTTCTAAAGTATGGGAATGTGCCTCTTTGAGGGGAATACTGGGAGAAGGGTGTTTCTGTCTTCTTCCTCCATACTGAGCCTTGGGGTTATAGCCAGTAAAGGGCTGTTTGTTGGCTTTTGTCTAGTTGAATCTGTGAACACAAAGCCCACTAGCCACCAGGGCCAGACTATCAAAGGACGTGTCCTTTGGGCATCAGCCACAAAGACTGGAGTGGTGGATGTTCCATAAGCTTCTTCCAAGGGGACAAGGGTACCCTGGGCTTGGAAGTGTAGGGCACCAAATAGTGCCTGCTGACCTTGCCATTTCTGGAGAGGATTTTGGGTCAGCCCCTAGAAGCCAGCCTCTTAGGCCACAGCTATGAAGACAAGCTAATTGTCCTCTTTCACAGAAAGATTAGGATATGTTTCAGTGTGCTGACTGTATGCTATGACCTACGGCTGGGGGTAGTTGGTTAAGAACAGTTTCTCCATTCCAGTCCTATGGCACTTGCAAAGATAAGCCCTGCTGGACACCAGAGCCAGGCGATCAAGGGGTGTCTTGTGGGTGGCTGCTTCAGTTGTGGGCACAGCTCTTTTTCTGGAGATACCAGTGACCCTGGAGCGAGCAGATGGAGTGTGTGAAGATGGTACATGTCCCCTGAGGTCTCTGGAAATGCAGTCAGCTTTAGAGTGTGTTTCATTAGATTCCTGCGTCTTAGGATGCACCTATAGTTAGGCCCCTACATGGGATTTAAATTAGATGCCTACCCTTCAGGCTGCCCCCTTAAGATAAGCAAATAGGCCTCTTTCACAGAAAGACTGGCCACTTTTCAGTCAGCTGCCTGTGTGCTGGGTCCCAGGGTGGGTGAGTCTGTGTGTGGGAATCTTTGAGAACAGTTTCTCTGACTGCTGTAGCCTCGTGGATCTCGTGCTCACAAGCCCCATTGGAGTTTGAAGGGATACATTTGGGGGCGCTTCTTGCATTTGCAGGTCTTAACCGTTAGGTTCAAACCTCTTCATTGCTCAGAGAGAAGCTTGGTGTCATGAGTTTCCTCCTAATTGTAGGTTGCTCTGCTGAGGGTGGGGTTTGGCATGATTGTGTCTGAGCCTCTCCTACCTGTGTCAGTCCTTTTTAAAATATTTGTCCAATATGTATGATTCACTCAGCTAGTGTTGGGTTTCTTTCAGAGGAGATTATTATGTAGGTATGTTCAGGATCTTCCTGTGTTGCCATCTTGAGCCAGCACACTGTATATTTAATTTCTAAGGGAGGAGATATGATATGTGGTCACAGAATACTTCTACCTGGTCTATCACACAAACCAATGTTATTTGCATGCATACATACAATAAACTCATGTGGTTTTCAGAATTCTAAGACGGCTCCCATGATCTCTCTCTTGCTGGTGTTCATACACCTTCTCTCAGTTATGCAATCAAACACAAATTGCTTTGAAGTGATTTTGCAGACATAATTACATCCCAAATCCAGGGGTTTTAGGAAGGATTATCTGAGTGGGCTTTACCTGATCAGGTGTTCCCTTAAAAGTGATTGGGCCTCTGTTGCTATGAGATTCAAAAAGTGAGAGGGATTTGTCTTGAGGGAGATTCTCATTGCTGAGTTTGAAGGTGGCAAGGAA